TGTTTTGTTGTTCAATAGATTTACAATGTTAAATTAGTGAAATTTTAACTTTTATTAAAACAGTTCTGTGATTAAGTGAAACAGTTATTGGTTTATTAATATATGAATATAAACTTCAATAAATTGAGTGTAGATTATAAGTTTTATAGTTATGCTTGTGATAATATACTCAAACTAATCGTATGTTTTCATTAGTGTTTAAGTATGTTTTAATTTTTTATTATTTTGAGATCAAAATTCAATATCATTTCAGCCATTCATTCATTTATTCATTGCAATTTGCATTGAAAATGTTAACATTAGGAATGAGTTTTTTTAAAAAACTTTTTTATTTTAGACTATTTGCAGACTTAATGTCAATAAAAACCTGTCTGAAGGCTCAATAGTATTGATAGTAATGATATTGAGTCAATACATAGACCTTTTATTTCAATTAAATTTATTTAATTTCATTTTATTTAATTGATAAAAAGCAGTCATTTAATGAAACGGCCTTTCGCTCAAATTAATTGATTCACAAATTGAGTAGAAATTTTGCACTTTCAGTGCTCGTTTAACATTACTTTTAATCTTATTACCGGTATTGATATTTCAAACAAACAAATTCCTTAACAAAAAATAAATTCTTTAAATCTAATACATATCATACATAAGCTAACAATAGTATAAATTTAGTTTGCAATATTTGATATACAGTAGTATAATATTTCATCAATGACATTAAATTTATTTAAATACTGGAGAAAGTTTATTATACAAACTTATTGTCAATGAACTTTGATTACATTATTAGTACTATACATTTTAAACAAAATTTCCAATCTAAACACATATTGTTTTATCTATAGGAATGTGTATTCGAGGACTTGGAGCTCAAGAAAAAGGTTTTCCGTGAATTAGACGCCATAGCATCGGACGATATAGTGTTGTGCAGCTCAACCAGTTGTATACTACCCTCGCTATTCCAGGCCGACCTCAAACACCGGGCGCAGGCTATTGTGGGACACCCCGTAAACCCACCATATTTTATACCATTAGTCGAAGTGATTCCCAACAAACACACGGATCCGGAGATAGTGAAGAGGACTCGGGCTCTGTTCACGACTATCGGCCAAAAGCCGGTCGTCATTAAGAAGGAAGTGAACGGATTCATCGGTAATCGCATACAGTATGCGATACTCAGCGAGACATACCGTCTCATTGAAGACGATGTCATCTCTGTGGAGGACGTGGACACTGTTATGGCCGACGGGTTTGGCCTCAGATGGGCTTTCATGGGTCCCTGGGAGACGGCTCACCTCAACGCCACCGGTATTTCATTGTTTGCTGTCTTTTGGCGATTTGTATTGATTGATGTTTTTTGGTTAATATACGATAGGAATGAAAGAATATTTTGAGAAATACAGAAAGAGTATGAGTAGTGTCTGCCATGACTTCGGACCCGTTCCCACGTTTGAGGGCAAAGGCGCTGATATTGTGGTGAAGGAAATGCATAAACGGATTCCTGTCGAGGATTTACCGGAAAGAAGGAAATGGAGGGACGAAAGACTCATCGCTTTGTCGCAGTTGAAGAAGAAATTGGACCAATAATTCAATTACTGATTCACACGATAGTTGATATTAATAGCTATTATAGCTTTTATCAGTTTACTGTGTGATTGATTTCAATATAAGAATCGTGAATAAAATAAGATTTAAAATATTAATGCTTTAAATTCATTCGTTGCTTGTAATTATGAGTGTATTAATAAGTCTAAACCAAAATGCATATTAAGTACCTTTAGATAATAATGTTGTCATTCATTCAAAAATCCTTAAATATTTTTCATTTAACAATTTAACATCTAAATTAACTTACTATCATAGATACAACTAACTTAAAGTCTACGCTAAATATGTATCTAAATTTATATTACAAAATTTATATCAAACTTCAGAGCCTTTTTAAAATGTTTTTAATTGGAAATTTCAATTTGAAATATTAAACATCAAAATTTATATACAGTACACTATAGTGTAGCAGAGAATATACTGTAACTAAACATTTATGGCAGGTAAATCTGCTAATTGTATGTAACATTGTATTCAATTCCGATTTCTCATGAAATCGAGTTGACTTCAACTGAATACTACATTTATCAAGTGGTTTGTTGGCATTCACTGCTACCGACTAATTCATTGTTTTGAAGTCCTATGTGTTGTCCAAAATTGTGTTGCGATAAGAGTTTTGGTTTACTTTACACTCGTATTTAAGTCTTAAATATTTGATTCATTTTGTGAATCGGAGTTTGTATTCAAACTAATTATAAGTTTTCATTCATTCATTGATTATATCGTTTGGTGCGGAGAATGAGTCAAAAGATAGGTATTGTCGGCAGGTATGGCACTAATGATACATATTTTTAGTATTGAATCACTTATTAGATCTGATTTATGATTTTTGTGGCCAACAGTGGTCTGATAGGCAGGAGTTGGGCGATGCTGTTCGCCGCCTCCGAGTTCTCGGTTGCCATCTATGATGTGATCCACGAGAATGTGGACACGGCTTTGGTCGACATCCAGGCTCAGCTCAATAACCTGGAGTCCAAGGGCTTACTTCGGGGCAAAATTAACGTCAAACAACAGTTTGCTTTAATCAGTAAAGCAAACACTTTGGAGGAATGCCTACAGAATGCTATACACGTTCAGGTAATGCATCGGATGTTTGACTAATAAGTTGTTCCACAAGAAGATGATACAAAAAAATATCCATAATTTTGCAGATTTAGAGTTAGAATTGCCATTCAAATTGAAGATTCTAAACACATATTGTATTACTGTATCTATAGGAATGTGTATTCGAGGACTTGGAGCTTAAGAAAAAGGTTTTCCGTGAATTGGATTCTATAGCATCGGACGATATAGTGCTGTGCAGCTCAACCAGTTGTATACTACCCTCGCTATTCCAGGTCGACCTCAAACACCGGGCGCAGGCTATTGTGGGACACCCCGTAAACCCACCATATTTTATACCATTAGTCGAAGTGATTCCCAACAAACACACGGATCCGGAGATAGTGAAGAGGACTCGGGCTCTGTTCACGACTATCGGCCAAAAGCCGGTCGTCATTAAGAAAGAAATAAATGGATTCGTCGGGAATCGCATACAGTTTGCTATACTCAGTGAGACATACCGTCTCATTGAAGACGATGTCATATCTGTGGAAGACGTGGACACTGTTATGGCCGACGGGTTTGGCCTTAGATGGGCTTTCATGGGTCCCTGGGAGACGGCTCACCTCAACGCCACCGGTATTTCATTATTAAATAGTTTTTGGAATTTTTGATAACTTTTTATTGACTGATGTTTTTTGGTTAATATACGATAGGAATGAAAGAATATTTCGAGAAATACAGAAAGAGTATGAGTAGTGTCTGTCATGACTTCGGACCCGTTCCCACGTTTGAGGGCAAAGGCGCTGATATTATGGTGAAGGAAATGCATAAACGGATTCCTGTCGAGGATTTACCGGAAAGAAGGAAATGGAGGGACGAAAGACTCATCGCTTTGTCGCAGTTGAAGAAGAAATTGGACCATTAATTCAATTACTGATTCACACGATAGTTGATATCAATAGCTATTATAGCTATTATCAGTTTACTGTGTGATTGATTTCAATATAACAATCGTGGATAAAATATGACTTAAAAATAGTAATGCTTTTAAATTATTTGCTGCTTTTAATTATGAGTGTACTGTATTAATAAGTCTAAATTAAAATAAATACGGTAATACTTATAGATAATAATATCAGTCATTCAAAAATCCTAAAATATTTTTCATATACAAATTAAACATGTAAATTACTTACTATCCTAGTAACACTAACTTAAAGTAAAAATATTTACCAGTATCTTTATAACAAACTTTAGATCAAACTTCAAAACCTTTTTGAAATGTTTTTAATCTGAATATTAAACAGAATCAAAATTTTTATATACCTACTATAATGCAGCAATTTTAAACCTCAATACAATTTCAATGTTACATATTTTAATTGCTAGTCACAAGCAAAACATCCCAATAATATAACGCTTTGTATAGTTTCCTGTGATTGCAATCTTTGCAATTGATCTCAAATTTCAGACTTAAAACCAACAAAAGTGTTGCTCTTATGCGCTAATCTCTCATTTCTTTCATTTACATCATATGCTATTGTAATGTCGGAGTCGAGTGAATCAGACCCAGAGAGTAGACAATCGTCTACTGGTATCCAATTGGCAACATCTGAGGACAGTGGACAACAAATGATAACATCCAAGTATAAGGAGTTGGAAGCTGATCATCATAATGTCGACAACAGGATCTCTACCTTAGAGTCTCGGTTACAGAAACTTGAGCTCGAAGTCCAGCAATTGAGTGAACGCGTGGACAACATTGAAGAAGATATCCTCTCAAGAGAAGGGGTCATTGATTGTCAACCATCTACTAGTACCCAATTGGTAACGTCTGGAGCTGATGAACACTCAAATACTTCACCGAATGGTGATAACGAAGACGTTATGCCGTGTATGTCGAGTAGAATTGCTTTCTTAAGTAAGAATTTGATGCTTCCTCAGCAGAATGTCCAGCAAAAAGGTCCACAAGTAGTAAAAATCACAGAAAAACCACACTTAAGTCATGTATCAAAAGGTGTGGTCAACAACTCAAGTGATGACCAATTGGTAACACCGGCAGATGTACCAAAACAAAGTGTTACAGATGTACCCAAAAGTATTGCCAACAAAATATCTCCCATAAAGCCTGAGCTGAAGATTCTTAAGCCGAATGTCCAGAAAAAGGGTCCGCCCGTCAAAGACAAACCACATTTAAGTGGTATATCAAGAGATATGGGAAACAAGTCAAATGGTAGTAAAGGTGAGGAATCACTGGTTGTGATGACACCTGACGAAGGCTTGGATCAGTTCTTCGGCAAACACAAGACAATTGATCCAAACGAGACAATTAGGGACGAATCGCTTGAGTCTATTAGCACACAGTCGTCGGGATTGTGAGTATTTTGCGCACAATATTGTAATTGTTTTTGAAGTAAATAT